TGGGGCTTCAGGGCCTGGGCACTGTCCCTGAGCTTTTTTTTTTTTTTTTTTTACTCAAGGCTAGCACTCTACTACTTGAGCCACAGTGCAACTTCTGGCTTTTTTCTGTTGATGTGGTACTGAGGAATGGAACCCAGGGCTTCATGTATGCTAGGAAAGCACTCTACCACTGAGCCACATTCCCAGCCCCTAAATTTCTTTTCCCTAAGGCCCAGGTTGGTCTTAAATTCCTCCTACCGTCACGGCCCCAGTGCTGGAATTACTGTCACGAACCAGGTTGAGGCCAGTTTTATCTCATAGGAAAGGTTATCAGTACTTTGATCCCCGTCCCCCCACCCCACCCTCCAGCATGTTTTTCTTTTTTGACTATTTTACTGATCTTTAATTATGCTCGAAACTTGTCATTTCCCACAGTAAAAAAAAACAGTCATATTTCCTCTAATAATGGTATTTAGAGAAATCATTTTAAGCACTTACTGTTTGCAAGTTGCTCTTGTTTCTTTTCATTTCCAGAGCAGAAAGCCAAGCAACCTGGAGTTCCTTCCCTCCAACTGAGAAAGCCATGCACTGACATCCCACCCCTACACCAAGCAGACCAGGGACCTGTCCCTAGCTTGCTCCTGTAACATGAAAGGTTACTCACCTCCAGCAGCTTTGTCCTGAGTGATCAGAGTCCCTCTGAGAGAAGGGAGTAGGATCTCCTCTTGAAGGCTGGAGCAGGGAGAGAAGAAAGTCTTCCTAGAGATGGCAGGGAGTCTGTTTCCAGTCCCACTATCAGCCTTGGCTCTCTACCTGGGATCACAGATTCCTGTATACCCCTCCCAACCTTTTTGGTGGTGGTGGTGGTGATCCTGGGGCTTGAACACTGGGCTGGGCACTGTCCCTGAGCTCTTCAGCTCAAGGCTAGTCTCATGGACTTTCCTACCTGGGCTGGCTTTGAAAGGAGATCCTCAGATCTCAGCCTCCAGAGTAGTTAGGATTACAGGCAGGAACCACTAGCTCCTGGCTCTCCCAGCTTTGCCACAAATGCTCTTACATCTAGTTTCACCTGGAATCACAGTTTCCCACCTACCTATCCCTCCAGTCTCTGACTCCTAGGTGGAACCACAAATTCCTGCCCATCCCTCCCAGCAGGGCCACAAATGCTCTTAGTTTAAATCCTGGGGATGGGGGAGGGAAAGAGGTTCCTCTTCGGCATAAGCCCTAAAGCTTGAAAATCCTCCCTGAATGGGTGGACGGAGGCCCCACAAAGGTTTTGGGACAATTTTCCACAGGAAACAAGCAGGATGAGAATGAGGAGTGAGGAGGACTCAGGAACTTCACAATAACAAGCCCTGTCTGCCTAAGAACAAGTCTCCTACTATAAATCATTAGAAATCAGACCCAACAATTAAGCCAAATTTCCTCGCGACCTCCAGATAACAACCCCCACCCCCAATCCATCATTTTCCAAGCAAATGGAAAATAGCAGATAGGAAAAATAAGCTCAGAGAGGTGAAGCTAACTTGGGAATCCCACAGCATCAGTCGGAATCAGAACTGTGGGGGTCTCTGGGAAAGCCAGCTGGAGTTCCTCTGTTGCCCGGGAGGATTCCTTGGGATGTGAGCTCTCTTAAGTGGTAAGGATCTGTGCCTTTGTGTCAACAAAGAATCTGGGACCAGGAGTCACCTCGGGGCTCTCCCTGCCTGGGTGGCTAAGTTGAGCCGGGATCCTCACCGGGTAGGGGCAGAGAGGTGGCAGCTGCCAGTGAGGTGGGGGGGGGGGAGATATTTTTAGAGGTGACTGGAAAGCAGGCACTTTGGCACACCCCCAGCTGGCGGGCGCTTCGCCCTAATGCGGGCGGGGGGTGCGCAGCTCGGGAGACGGGAGGACTTGTGGGTGGCAGAGACCAAGGGGACTTTGCCTGTCAGGGATGGAGGGTACCTGGGCACCACATTTCTGGGGTAGGAGGAAGGGGCTCATACCTCTGCTCCAGGGAATCCCCCCTCCCCGGCCTGCCACCCTTGTGAAGAAGCGTCCTCAAACTCCACACGGTCCCCCCACACCAACACTGGGACCCCAGCTTTCCCTAGCTCCCAGAACCCAGGACTCACGTGGGGGCGGCGGTGGCAGAGGTCTGTCCCGGCTGAGTTTGAGTGTAAAGATTGGGGAGGGGGGTCTAGCTAAGGTATTAGGGTGCGGGGTAGAGCTCGGGGTGCTTACGGAATTGGGGGGGGCGCGGTGTTTTATCCACCCCCGGATTCCTGGGCTCCGGCTCACGAGTCCCTCCAGTCCCGAAGGACCGTGGATGACGTGCGTCTGGATGGCTCCCCCCACCTGCCCCCCATTCCCCGGGCTGCTGCCGCCGCCGCCGCCGCCGCTGCCGCCGCCGCCGCGTCCCCTTTAAATGCCCGGGAGCCGGAGCCGGAGCCGGAGCCGCGGCCGGCGCTGCGGCTGCCGCAGCACTGGGGTCCACCGCAGTCTCTGTACGTCACAAGAGACTGACCAATCACAGAGGTGCCGGTGCACATCAAAGGGGCGGGCTTCGCGCGGGCCACGCCTCCGTGTTGCCCCGGCGGCTCAGCGAGCCGGAGCGAAGGTGGGACTGACTGGGAGCAGGGGGGTGGGGAGGGGGGCGGGATGGACGCGGGGCCCATCCGCGGAGCTGGAGGGCACCGTCATCGGCGTGGCCGTGGACAGCGACGTAAGTCCTGCTGACACTCCCACCGAGGCCAGGGCTCTGCAGCACTCACCTCCACCGCCCGCTCGGCCGGCGGTCCGTCCCCTCGGCCGGGTGGGAGGCTCCGGCTCACCCGCTAGGAAAAGCCGTCGCTTCCACGTGCGCCGAGCTCGGTGCCCTCTGCCCTCCTGGCGGAGTCACCGCGTCCAGCCCGGCCCTCAGAACCCTTTACCCAGGTCACAGGTTACGGGGTACTGGGGATTGCGGGTGGAGGGGCATTGGGGGGGAAGGCTCCCACCGGGGTGCCAAACGGTTTGCCCCTTTGCAAATGAGGGGGTAAATTAAACACAGAAACAACCTTTCTGTCCCTTCGCTGGTGCCTCATGCCTGTAATCCTAGCTGAGATCTTGGAGGATGAGGTTTGAATCCAGTCAGTAGAAAACGCCTTGAGACTCCATCTCCAATTAACCAGCAAAAAGCCCAACGGGAGGAACGGCTCAAGTGGTCGAGCGCAGGCCAGCGAAGTGAGGTCCTCAGTTCCATCCAGCCTTCCAGCGGGGATGGGAGGGGGGAGACTCCCCTCTGTGTCCTTAGTCAGTGCCAGTCACAGCCCTGCTCCCCCTCTTCACAGAGCCTCCCAGCCCGCAGGAGGATAGATGACTTGTGTCTTCTAAGAATGTACTATGAACCAAGCACTCAGCTAGATGACCCCATTACTGGTTGGATGTTCACAACACCGGGAGAAATAGTTTGCCCAGGAGTTCAAACACAGGAATGCAGCTGACCCATTTGGGTTCAAAGCAGTTGTGTGAACGCCCCCAGGCCTGGCTCTAACTTTAGCCCTAAATCCTGCCCCTACTGGAAGACGGCCAGGTGTGGCAGCAGGTGGGGCTGCAAGTCAGAGGCGAGAGTTAAGAAGCCATCACTCTTTGTTTTTAGTGCTGAGGCAGCCAGGTGCTAGTGGCTCAAGCTGCTACTCAGGAGGCTGAGATCTGAGGTTTGTGGTTTGAAGCCAGACAAAAATTAGAGACTCTTATCTCTGATTAACAAGCAAAGTGCTGGAAATGGATCTGTGGCTCAAGCAATAGAGGGCCACCCCTGAGCAAAAATGCTGAGTTCTAGTACACACACACACACACACACACACACACACGCCTGACACACATTTAGCTTGATTGTGGCTCCCTACTTAACCCTAGCCCCATAAACTGGCTTGCATCCCTTCATTGCTCACACCCTGCCTCCCCTCCTCATTCCTTCTAGCTCCCAACACATCTGCTCTACCTCTCCTAAGGCCTTCCTCCTTTGGGAGCAGCTCAGCATCATCAACCTCCAGTCTCATCATCTCCGCGCTCTGCTTAGCACACCTCCTGCTTCTGCTTTCATCCTATTGGTCTCATTTGTGCTGTCTGAGCACTTAGTAGGTACTGGAAATTGCTGTGCATGTGTTGTGATCTTCACCATACTACAAGCAGGTACTGTCCAGGCTCATTTACTGAAGGGGAATCAAGGCACAGAGAGTTAAGCTTGCTCAGGGTCACCCACCAGTATTATAGTTTACCCCATCTTAGAATAAGTTGGTAGAGAGGCAAAGAGATACAGCCACTTGCCCAGGGCCATACAAGTACATTCCAATGCTCAGTCCCTGATGCAATTTCAACCTGGTTTCCAAATTCACAGATGGAGTCAGGGGTTGGATGGGCAGATGATGATGATGATGATTTTCTTTTTTGTCATTCTGGTAGAGGCTTGAACTCAGGGTATGGTTGTTGTCACTTTTTCACTCGGGGATGGTACTCTACTACTTGAGCCATAACTCCACTTCCAATTTTTTGGTGGTAGTTGGAGAAAAGAGTCTCACAGACTTTCCTGCCTAGGCTGGCTTTGAACTGCCATTCTCAGATCTCAGCCTCCTGTGTTACACAGATTATTTCTTCACAGGTATTATCTGCAAAGTGCCTTTGTGAAGAAGTATAGAAATTCCTGCTTTTCCTTGGACTGAAAATTCCAGGACTCAGTCCTACTTCTCTCAGCTGTCTTTACTTTCCCCTCCCTATAGCCAGAGAGTAAGCAAGTTGGAAGATCAGCCGTTTGCCTAAAAATTGGGTCATTCTATTTCGAATGGGAAGCCCTCCAGCCCCCCAGTTTGTGGAGGCCATGCAGTGCAGGGAGGCAGATCTTGCTCTTCTGGGTGAGTTTCATGTTAATGACTAAGTCACTTGATCTGGCTTGTGGGAAAGGGAGTCATCAGAGGTGACACTGCTTGCTCAAGTCCCTGTGAGCCCTGGCTCAGGGACCAGCTCTCCTACTGATCTTCACAAAGAGTGTGAGTCACTCACTTGTCCAAGGTTCCAGCTTTAGAGCCCATGAGGCCAGGTATCAGAACTTAAGCTTCCAGCTCTGTAGAAGCATCCTGGTGGGAGGAGTCAGGTGAGGGGGCGTGGCAAGGCTCCACCTGTGAGGGAGTGAGGCTGGCTGGAGAAGACTTCCCAGCCTTATCTCCCTGAGGAGTTTAGGATTTTCATTTTTACCAGTGAGAAAGCAGAAATATAGAAACATTAAGAAAGGGCCCAGCCGGGCGCTGGTGGCTCACACCTGTAATCCTAGCTACTCAGGAGGCTGAGATCTGAGGATCGCGGTTCAAAGCCAGCCCAGGCAGGAGAGACAGTGAGACTCCTATCTCCAATAAAACCACCAGAAAACCGGAAGTGGTGCTGTAGCTCAAGTGGTAGAGCGCTCGCCTTGAGCTGAAGAGCTGAGGGACAGAGCCCAGGCCCAGAGTTCAAGCTCCACGACCGACAAAAAAAAAAAGAAAGGGCCCTTGCCAAGCACCAGTGGTCACTCCTGTAATCCTAGTTGCTCAGGAAACTGAGATTGGAGGATCCTGGTTCAAAGCCAACTCAGGCAGAAAAGTTTGTGAGACTTATCTCCAGTAAACTCCTCAGAAAAAGCCAAAGCCAGAAGTGGCACTGTGGCTCAAGTGGTAGAGCAAAAAGAAGCTCAGAGATGGAGCCTAGGCCCAGAGTTCAATCCCCAGGACTGGCAAAAAAAAAAAAATGGTGAGGGGACAGGGGAGGTATCAGTGCTCACGCCTGTAATTCTAGCTACTCAGGATGCTGAGATCTGAGGATTGTGGTTTGAAACCAGCCTGGGCAGGAAAGTTTGTGAGACTTTTATTCAATTAACCAGCAAAAAGCCAGAAGTGGAGCTGTGGCTCAAGTGGTAGAGCATCAGCCTTGAGTTCAAGTCCCGGTGCTTGGGGCTGGGAAGGTGGCTCAGTGGTAGAGTGCTTGCCTTGCATGCATGAGGCCCTGGGTTCGATTCCTCAGCACCACATTAGCAAAAAGAAAAAAGCCAGAAGTGGCGCTGTGGCTCAAATGGTAGAGCGCTAGCCTTGAGCTGAATTGCTGAGGGACAGCGCCCAGGCCCAGAGTTCAGGCCCCACGACCGGACCCAAAAAAACAAACAAATCAAGTCCCGGTGCTAGCACAGAAAGCAAGCAAGCATCCTTGCATCTTTTGTCCAAGGATGCTGTGTCCCAAGTGGTGGTCAGGAGCTGGTCTGCTTTTCTTTTCTTTCTTTCTTTCTTTTTTTTTTTTTGGTCGGTTGTGGGGCTTGAACTCTGGGCCTGGGCGCTGTCCCTCAGCTCTTCAGCTCAGGCAAGCATTCTACCACTTGAGCCACAGTGCCATTTCCAGCTTTTTCTGCTTATGTGGTGCTGAGGATTCGAACCCAGGACCTCATGCATGCAAGGCAAGCACTCTACCACTGAGCCACCTTCCCAGCCCCTGGTCTGCTTTTCTTGACATGACCTAAAAAGGCAAATTTGAGGCCCTGGGTGAACTAGAGACAGGTGAGGGTGGGCTGCATTGGGAAAAGCCCACCAAGAGTATCCCCATTCAGGCACTTCTGCAAGATGTGTTGCAAATCATTTGCTGGGGAGCTGGAACCAGGGTTGAGCACACCCTTCTCCCACACTTCTTCCTAGATCACAATAGCTAGCTTTGGCAGAGTGCTTCCTATGTGCCCAGCAATGTTCTGAGAAGGCTCCCTACCATCTCCTCAATTCACACACAGAATGGTGTGTAACTTGTCCAGGTCACAGGGCTAAGAAGAGAAAGAACTAAGCTTTGAACCCAGGCAGGCAGTTTCGGTTATACTGCTCCCTCTCCCTCTCTCCCCCTACCCCTTTAGATTTTGTTGTTATTGTCGGTCATGGGGCTTGAACTCTGGGCCAGGGTGCTGTCCCTCAGCTCTTCAGCTCAAGGCTAGTGCTCTATCACTTGAGCCACAGAGCTACTTCTGGTTTTCTGAGTGGTTTGTTGAAGGTAAGAGTCTCATGGACTTTCCTGCCCGGGCTGGCTTTGAACCACAATCCTCAGATCTCAGCCTTCTGAGTAGCTAGGATTATAGATGTGAGCCATCGGCCCTGGACTTCTCTTTAGATCTTTTTAATCTTCCTCTCACTACTACCTGAGAGTTGGGATTACAGTAGTGATCGCTACATTTGGCCAGAATTGCATTTTTAGCCAAAAGCAAGGGTCCCCTCTAGCAAAAGGAAAAGATTTCTCCCTTCTGGAGGGGAAAGAAGGTGGCAGGAGACTTGGGGCCAGCA